TACGTACTGCGTAAAGGTAAACTCAGGGCAGGTAAGAGAATCATAGTCATGATTACATTCATTAGCATATTGTTTTTGTTGACAGCGTATCGAACGCTTTTGGAGGACATTGATGGCCATGATGGAAAACTTTTTGGTTGACACCTTCCATGCGTTGGCTTCTGATGGCATCTTAGATTGCACCTCACAGCTGCAAGTGTAAGATTTTCATGTAAATTTTCCTATCCCTAAAACTTAATTAATGCAATTAAGAAAACGGACGTCAAAGTTTTTTTAGTGGCCAGGCAGTATTGCTATTGATTCTCAGTTGTCTGACAAATACATGTCATGTGTAATGAATAAATAATAAATTGGAAGCTTTACATAGAACCGCAAGCATGTGTGTAAACCATTTTATTATGATTAAAAGACTTTTACTATATTATAATACTCCCATCATAACAGGACAATCCAACACAACATAATTTTTTCAACTATATGATTGTACATATTGCTTGAAGAGGTGTTTTATTCTTTGTCGCCCAAACTGTAATACAATAAATATTGGTACTATTAGAAGATATTCCCACCAAACAGTAGTGATACATGAGAAAAACACGAATATAACCAAAACGTTCACAATGATGTTACACTGAGGCAATGATTTGGAAGACTAGACATCCCAACAACTCCTCAAGGAATGTTCAATTTTTATTGATGTCCACAAACCATACCAGAGCAAAATGGGCATCCGTGAACTTACTGTAGCAGCTTGATGCTGTGGATATTTTAGAGACGTACTATTTAGGAAGAGACTATACTATGTAGGAATGGTTTTTGAATGTGAATCTGTCATGCATTTAACACAACTTGTTACCTATTTATATTGTATTATATAGCGTTTTTAACTTCTGTTATCCGTAGATATACTTTTCAACTCGTTTAGATGTAAACCGAGTATACCATTATTTCATCATTATCATTATCCTTCGCGTTGATAGCGGTATGTAGTTTTAATTTACCGGAAATCAAATTCGTTGAAACAAATTTTTCTGAAGGACTGGTATACAATGTGCACTGATGTAGAATATCAAAGCTTATTTTGAAGTTGACGAATAGTCAAAATCCCATGAAATCTGTGTTTTTCAAATTCCGTTCACTAATCCACAATAACAAAACGTATTAGAAGACTTGATGGGTACATTCTACTCTGTAAATAAATAAATCAATCCAAACGGGAAATACAGTGTATAAACCTAAGACTGGCCTACATTAGTATACAGACGTGAAACAGTAGGAAAAACGTTAGTCAAAAACTCACAAACTTGTACACAACGAACGCTTAAACACACAATTTACAAAATTCTGTCGTGCATGCTCTCAATCCACCAACGACTTTCGTGAACATACTCGGTCAAGATTCAACATCTTTGCCGCAATCGTTATCCAACACTGTAGCCTGAAATTACGAATAAATACAAGGGTAGTTACATTTTAAATAATAGACCGCACTGCGATAAACGCTCCCTCGGGAAGCATGTCTTCAAGATGGCAAATCCATACCAACCAGAGTGAACAATAGGCCTACTATACTGGGTTTGATATTTGTAGCAACTAGTAATCATAAGTACGGGAACGTTTTTCACTCAAAAAGCTTGCAGAAGTGAGAAACCAAATTGAGCGAGGTGAACTTCCACGAGTAAGCGGGTTCATTAAAGGGCTGTTAATTTATTTACATACAGTCAATCGACGCATACATGCTAATTTATCCGTTTCCATAATCATTAAAAAATATACGCACACTTTTAGCATCCACGTCAACAACGTCAGGTCCGGCTGGAGCAAGGTTGACCATTGATGATTAATGGCTTATTCACATTAACAGGCGACGCAAGTAGAAAAATGCGACGCCCGTCGAAAAATGCGACGCCCGTCGAAAAATGCGACGCCCGTCGAAAAATGCGACGCCGGTTGAAAAATGCGACGCCTGTTGAAAAATGCGACGCCCGGTGAAAAATGCGACGCCCGTCGAAAAATGCGACGCCGCCTGAAAAATGCGACGCCGGCTGAAAAATGCGACGCCCGGTGAAAAATGCGACGCCGGCTGAAAAATGCGACGCTGGATGGCACATATGGAACACCATATGTGTGTGAATGTACGTTGATATCGACTTGAAACTTCCATGAAACTAGGTGCATGTATATTATTGGCCACATTTATATGTTTGCGTTTACAACAATGCTTTTAGTTAATACCTTAAATAATATGGGCACGCCTGCCTCGCTAGGACGGTGGACCGTGAGCCGTAAACGATAGGCCAACTAATTCCCAGATTGAGTAGGTGGATGATTAAGACGGAGGGTACCCCCCTACGTGTTCAATACCTATACACACCCTAGAGTATCGTTACCTTATCTCCCTAGATGTCTGTAGAGAATTCCTGAGACTAGACTCCGATCAAACAATGACTAACCATTGGCGGAAATCTGTCCTCGATCGTGGGGGGGGGGGTCAATTTACGTTTTTTTGTGCACATGCACCGTTTTTATTATCTCGTTTCATTTATAAAAACTCAAAGGGGGAACTCCTCGATCCATCAATTCCTTCAGTATTTTGTTTTGCTTAAAACATGGAGGGGACATTCGACATTGCGTCCCCCATACCAAATTCATGGGGGAAAGTGGCCTCCTGCCCCCCCCCCATTTCCGCCCATGTAACCAACACAAAGCGGGTGGGGGTGCTCTCAGTCATGTCCCATATCTTACTACTTCCTATGATACATGCGCAAACGTGTGTCAGACGATTCTCATACCCAGATATACCCATCCCCGGCCCCTGGGCGGGCAGCGGCTGCATTGATTTTTTGCAATCGAAAAATGACGTCATAGAATTTTAAGGCTGGAATTCTTCAACCGTGTGTGAATTCCTTTAAGGTGCACTACACCAAACTACGCGCCCATAGAAAACATTGCAAAATCAGAAATAGCGTCGCCTGTCGACTCTCGGGCGGGAAGAGGTCGGCCTCCGTTTTTTTCACTGGAAATTCAAGATTACGGCCAGAAGATCACTTTTCATTTCAGTTTATGCGGGTTAGCCATGGTTTGATTTTTAAAAATATTTTTCATTCGCCTTTTCCCATAGATACCCCCCAAATAGTAGTAATACTAAGCGTCAGCTCTGAATGTAGCCGCCCGCTTCTATCCAAAATAGGCCCGCAATTTTGGGCTTTTGTGAAAGAACTACCCCGAACTGGAAACTATCAGTCCCAAATCCAGGATTTATAAAGAAATATTTCTACGAGCCCTCCGGACTGTGGCATATCTTATGGTAACCCCCCCCCCCATGTATCACAGCATACTAAAAAGATCGCGCGCAGAAATACAATAACTTGGTGGAATGCACCCCTATGCTGAGGGGTGTGAATTTGGCAATAGTTTTGATTTTAGTCGGGCGCCGCGCAGATCACGAAATACTCCTGTAGTTTTGAATAGGATCTTGGTGGGCTATGCGTTTATATGTCTGTTTTCTGCGGGGAAGACCAGTCACAGCTTAATCAAGCTCAGGAGTTTCTGTTAAAATTCTTAACCCAATTGTGAAAACGTTTTATTGCTGTGCAAATAACCAACAATGAATCAGCAAAGAAAAGGAAATCCAGTCCAGTAAAATCTACAAAAAGTCATAACTTTTTTATGGTTCAAAACAATGTAACATTCAAGCGTTCTTCCTGCGATGACACCACGGTACCGGTTTTGCTTATGAATATGGAAACCATTAGCATTAAAACTAAAAAGGCAGTTGGTGAAAATAAATTTGAAAATAAGATTAACCGATAGGCAAAGGTGCGTGTTGAAGGTTTGTATTACAATACACTGATTGCAGCTACCTTTGAAGGAGAGGAAAGAGGAGGGCAGATATGCCTTGTAAAGATTCTCGCAAAAGGCTGAAATTGGGGGAGTTGGCAGGTGTAGCAATCTTTATACGCATTTATCATCTTTGTGGCCAGGGCCATTAATCAGCGTCCATTCTCTATAATCCGGTCTTGAATAAACGTTAAAACCGGTCAAACATATTTATTACTCACTTTTTCAGCTAGCACAATTTGTAGTGCGCTAGCTCAAAATAGATTGTTTTCATCTGCAAAAACAAAGAGTTGATTAATTTTTTGCTCTTCCAACATTACAGTCTGGCGCCCCCTGTTGTTTGTCTGTTACTGCAACAAGTGCACTAAATGTACACGAGAGTTCGAGAACGAGTGAAGACGCCAGCATGTGGCACGCGGTTACTGTTCCTGCAACCTTAGAAGATCATGTGTGCAGATTCTCTACAAACAAGCTCTGTTTCAAAGGTACATTAGTAAAGTTTGAGGTTTCAATTCACTTTTCAAATGAGACTTTTTCTTCAACATTTTAGTTTGAGTCATGAAAGTAAAGCTATTGTACCAGAACGATACGAGTGTAGTGGGTCGGGGAACTACGGGGTGCAGGCTCTCCGTCAACATACAGGTCATACTTTGGTCATTTGTGTGCCAAAAGAAAGAATTCAGTTCTAAGCAAAGTGCATTAGGGGATGTCGGCTTTCTTGGCCAATCGCCAGTTGTTTCCATTTTCTTGCTCATGCTGTTTTCTTTGCGCATATGCCTTTCTTTTTGTTTATTTGTAGGGCTGCTTTGTCTTCAAAGCCAAAATGGCAAAGAAAGCCTTAAGACCAGGGGACTACATGTGCCAAGATGGCTCAGACTCAGAGGCTGCATGGTTCAGATGTAACACGTACGAGGCGCTATGGGACAGGGTCAGTGAAGGCATTGAGGTAAGGACTGTGATTGTGAAGGGCAGCCAAAACAGACTTGCCGAATCTAAGATTATTGGTGTGATCAGCCGATCCATCACAGTCACCCGATTGGCAAGCACAGCTGCTTTATCCTGTATGAAATCTTCCAATTAGCTTCCCTTTTCCAGTCGCTGCTCAGAAAGAAAAGGCCATTGGCTGATGGTGGAATTATCATCAAATCATGAAATAAAATCAACAGATCATGCAGAGATCAAGTGATTGCTCAGATCGACTGATTTTGCTCATCATCAACATTCTCTTATAATAGCCAGCACTGTTTGAATAAGTCTTTTGTGCAAGTTGGGCACTTGATAACTTCCAAGCGCACAATCTCCAACTGGCACATAGTGCTGTGCAAAATATTTGGTTGATTATCGAATATTTAAATAGGCCTATGTGTTTTCAAAATTGAATATTCAGAGTAAAAATCAGTGATATAATAAAGGGGACAAAAATAAATTATTTTTTTCAAAATTCCATTCTAAAAGCACATTTTATAAAGGTGTTAGGAGTAAACCAAAAGGCAATTGATGAATGCAATTAGGACAATAATTACTTGTCCTACCAAATTTTTGTTTTTGACATTCTTGCAAATACATTTTTTGTTAACTGCTTTCAACAAAATTTGATACAACCAAATGTTTCAATATTCATTCCAGGGGTTGGTCAACTATTCAGTTTTTTGAATGACTCAGCTAATACTGAGCGACTCTTGAACATTTTAATTTTTGTTGCTCGAATTTGTTGGCCATGTCTGTGTATTTTATCATCACTGTAAATGAAAAGGTTCATTCAGATGATTTAAGAGAAAAATGTTTTGGACCTTCTCACTTGTTTGTCAGGCATTACAGTCAGAAGTGAATGAAGAGATCTTCTCAGACCTCATCCAGTTTGTGAAGAATGGACAAGCAGGATTTGAACCAGAAGGCACGTTGCCAGGGCAACGACCTCAGCGGGTCATCAAGGAGATCCCAACAGCTGCTTTTATTGCAGGTTTGTGCACGGTGATGCAAGAAAATGTACAGACAAGCATGGTAGGCTATATAAACTCAAAAAAGGACTGAGCAGTAAAAGCACACGGACAGTAATCACATGTGATGTTTATATCGTATTTTTTGCGTGCTAGGTGTCAATGTGACTGACCACAGTGCAACGTTTGCCGCCATCACCACCCAACTCAAGGATCAGGTGACCCCTCATGTTGCTAATCTTTTATCCCGGGACTGCAACAACCTTCGGGCATTGATGTCTAGCCTGGTGTCCCAGCTGATGGGTACTGATGATGTTGTAAGTACCACCGTGTAATGACAAACTTTTCATTGGGAGTATGCTGCTACCCTTTACCTGTCAGGCCTATGAATTAGTTGTATTGTTACAAATGTGGAGTCCTGCATTGCACCTAAACACTTGAATATGATTATAAAGCAATTCAATCATTGAAAATCTGTGGGTTGATATTTGTTTGTTCAATTGAAATAACTCAAGAATTGGAGAGAAAGAAGACGGTAAGAAATAATTGTTCAGCAGGGGTCGTGATATAAATACTGGTGGCATCTTCAAGTTTTTTCTGATGGAATTGTAGTTTTTATGAGTTCCCAGCCCTGAAGATTTTTAGAGGAAAAAAATTTACTATTTGGCCCGAGTTGATTGGCACTCTCACCAGCAAAGAAAAGAGACAGGGAAGTTAGAGGTTTTTCAGGTGGGCTTGTGCATGCATCCAGCGCGTATGCGAAGACTGTACATTCAAGCAGAAATTCATTATGCATGCTCAGCGCGCCTCATGCAAAACACGTATATACCTGCGCATGCACACACTGTTGTTGCTGTAAAAAACACGTCCACTCTTGTTTCCACTAGAAGGGAATAATAGTCTTTAATATGCCTTTTTATATTGGGTATTTTGGGGTTTGTCTAAAGATAAGTGATGACGAGGAGGAACTGAATATCAAGAAAATACCGGCGACAATGCCCGTCCTGAGGGCGTGGTACCATGACACTGCAAAGGTGAGTATGATGGTGACTTTGACAATGTTGATTACATGGACAACGATGATCAGTTGCTGTCGTGTCCTCTACCAGCATCCTTGAACATGCCGTGAATTCTGATTTACTAGAAAACCCTGGTTCAGCTGCCTGAACTCAGGTTATTGTCAAGGCCATAGCAGGGTTTCTGCTATCTATGCTATTACAGTCTGTGTCATTGTGAGTTCAGCATCAAGGTCATCAGTGCCATTGCCATTATTTTTAATAATACTGTTGTGACGCTCTGTGGTGTCATTATCACTTTGGGCCCTCGCCCTCTTGGAGACTTTTATATCATGACAAGGTTTTTAAAAGTGTTTGGAGGGAACTAGAGGCCAGCCACTTGGCATGGGCCCTGATACCTTGTGAATGAGAGAGAGCCAAAAGACTGTGCCATTTGTTTCCTGCTCTATGGAGGATTTTTAGGCAGTCCAAGAGGATTTATAAAAACGTGTGAATTTTTTCTTGTTTTTCCTGTGTGACTTTCTCCCTTCCTGTCACAGAAGCGAAAGGCGCAGCAGGGAGAGGCCTCACCTCCCAAGCCGGCCAAGAAGTCGCAGAGGAGCAAGAAGAGACGATCAAGCAGTACGTTCAACAAGAATTATGCAGAGTTCCCGCCCGTTGTCATCCTGTTTGAAGACTTGGAGAGCTTCACGCCGCGAGTCCTGCAAGATTTCATTCTGATCTGCAGGTAGAGTTGAGCTGGTCATACTTGAAAGGAATTCTGTGTTCTCGTGCTACTAGCTTTCAGTTGTCCCATCTTAGTCATTTACTGGATGTTCCAGGTTTAGACCTAGCTTAGGCCATTACACAGGGGAAGGCAGTCTTCTGCGTTCGGACCTTTCTCTGTCACTTGGGTTCCTGTGCAACTCTATTAAAGTATATATTTATTGCAACTGGGTTAAGAGCGTGCAAAAGCATGCAAAGGGTTGAGATATGTTTTTTTCGTGACTTTCTATCATTGAGTTTATTTGGTATTGCACCAGTGTTGTAGTACTCGTACTCAACTACTCGAGTACCATTTTCAGAGTATTCGTGTCTTTTTTGTACTTCAATTTCTAAGTACTCGTACTCAAACAACAGTTCTTGTACTCAGGCTGCAAAATACTCAGAATAAAATTGTACTTAAGCATTGAGGTACTTGTACTCGATTAACAGTACTCGATAAAAATCCTTTAAATCCCGTAACGGCCACTGAAATACAACGACACAAGAAAATCCATCCTCGCAGACAGATATTTGGCACAGTCCGACAAACACAAGGCCTACACATTTACTGTCTTAGCCAATTTCCGAACTCAAAAAACTGGTGTATTCCTAGTCTTAGTTCCGAGACCTTCCTGTTTATTCGGCGACACAAACCGTCACCAGATGTAGTGGCCGGAAGGGGCACTGTCACAGTGTATCGCCTTGTAAAGTACATGTACACCGCACATTGCACGCAACAACGTATCGCAGTAACGAGAAACGCATCTTGGGTCCAAGACTAGTAACACTCAATTTAGTTGTAGCTAATCTGATTCCCAGACTGACATATAATCTAGAATATAGAAAAACACGGGCACAGGAATAATAGTAAGCCTGGAAACAGACTTCATCCATCCACATTATTTTACGTGTTCACATTTTGCCTGCATTTAAAACATGTACTGGTACATGTACATATACTTTGACATCGCAACATGTAAGTGCACATTACCAATCACAACTCCATTGTAATGTATATTGTTTTGGAATGTTACTTACATGTTTTTGGTCGATATGACAATCACACACAGTTTCAGCTGGTAACCTTTGTTTTTGAGCATTTCATCAAATTTTGTACTTAAGCAGGTCTGTGAAATTGGGCCATGCATCAACGGCATTTACATTTTACCTCTGAGTAGGTATAAATGCTTTTGCTGTAGTCCGTGCATCAGAGCTGATGATCGTTTCCTTGCCGTATAAATGTTGTACTTCTTTGTTTTGCCAAAGAGCCTCTTCACGTACACAGTTTTGGGACTAAATCTAATCTGCAACTTTACCGAAACATACTGATTTTGGAATGGTATGGCAGATTTTAATCAAAACAATCAGTTGCAAATTTAAAACCCTTTGACAAACAAATTTGACTATTTACCCAGACGTAAAGTACTATGACTTGTAATTAGAAGTATTCGTACTCAGAGGTACATGTACAAGAACTTGTACTTGAAAATCAGTTCTTGTACTCGGACTTTCAGGTACTTGGAAATGTAAGCACTCAGCAGTACTATGTACTCGGAAAAAAATACTCAACTACAACACTGGGTATTACCCAAATAAAAATTTTAAAATTACAAATAGGAATTCATAGTTTTAAAATATTTTCTCAAATGATGGTAATATTGTGATTTCCTACTTTGGTAACTTTTTGAAAATTTTATGAACCACTTTGTCAAAAATAAATATGTGTTTAATTCTGTATCCACCAGTGAGTACCTGTCACAACTTCCGCTGGTGTTGCTCTTTGGCATAGCTACATCGGTGGCTGCCATCCACCGCATCCTGCCCCAGGCCGTGTCTTCCCTCCTGAGCATTGAGAAGTTCCAGGCTAAGCCCTCAACAGTCTACCTCAGCCAACTCATCAGTAAAGTAAGTTAACTTCCCAGGTTTGCATCATTGGAAATGTTGTTAGCGCTGTTTCTTTGAGGCTCAATGCTCGCCATACAGGTGTTTTGGGCTTGTGGCTAGTGACTAGCGTCCCCTGAACAAAGATAAGAACTAACAACATAGGACTGGAAAGCTCAGTTGGTAGAACGTTGGTATTGTGTTCTGGAGGGGGCAGGTTCAATTCCTGCTCCAGTCAATTTCTTCGTTCACCTTTATGAATGAAGTGGTTTGAATTCTGTCTTAGGCCCTCCTACATTTGAATGAATGACAGCTTGGCCTTGCCAGACTTGAAGAAAAAGATTGGTGAATCATTGCAAAATTTGATGGTTAATTTGATGGTAATGGTTATTTCACTTGCACATATGTGAAGTGTGGCTGTCTTCAGCCAAACAGTGGTCAAATTTCATTTCAGAACTTCCCGTCCTGGATGTTTACTTGCTGTTGAGATACTGGTAACTTTTCATGACAGAGTGATGCAGTTATTCTATGTAGCGAGAAAATTGCATGTGAAACAGCAAAGAAAAAGTTTTCACTTAGCATGCGTGTGTTCAATCTGCTCGATTTCCACACATGCATTTCCTTATGGTGTTGGCTTATTTTTCCCTGCTGAGTTTAGGCTATCTGCATTTATCTCTTTGATCTCTTGATAGCAGACCTATAAGTACTGAGGAATGCTGTTGGCCCAGTCCACTGAATCAATGGTAAACTGAGCATTCACTAATTTTGCTGTGATGTTTGCGCACAGGTTCTGCTTACTCCCTCCCATCCTTTCAAACTCGGCCACAAAGTCTTCCAACTTCTCCTGGATATCTTCCTCTTCCACGACTTCTCAGTAATCAACTTCGTCAAAGGACTGCAGGTACATTTACGACTGAGAGTCTGCCTCGGTGTATTTCCGCCTTAATACAATTGGAATTATTTTGCTCATACCAATAGGCATGGTCTACCTATGGCTTACTGTGTAAATTTTGAATTCAAAGTCACACATGCGGCCACAGATTGAGTGTTTGACATTCACAGCCAATGGTTTAATTGTAGACAGTGACAAAGGTTTAGGTCCAATGCAGAAAGATGTACGTTTGTTAAAATGAAACCCGATTGACTTTTGTAGCAGACATGGAGATTTGTGGGTTTCTGTTTTAAGAATTACTCAATTGCAGGCATAAAATGTGGAGACATACTGACCTAACTGTTACCATTTTGTTTGTCCTGCTCGCTGTCTTAGTTTGCCATGATGGATCATTTCTTCAGCCACCCTCTCAGCTTGCTATGCTGCAACTACGGCGAGGGACTGAACAGACTACGTACCCTGGCACACGACCAGCTAGAGCTGTTCAGACAAGCTGCCTCCTTCAGAACGTAAGACCAATCTGTCTCTAGTTTTCTTGTGTGAGTGTAACTGTGTCTCTCCCTGTTACAAAATTATTCAGCAAGGTTTGGAGGATTTTGCAGGATTCAGTAAGCATAATGAGGTAGTAGCCGTTGTCATGTGTACAAAGTGTTCATTTGGTTCCCGCACAGGGCTTTGCATTTAAGCTGACGTGAACGTTTTCAGTTACTGTGAGGTCATTGTACAGAACCTTCATTTTGAGTTTGCAATTCAAAGTTTGCATGTTTTGCAGGTTTGTTGAAGGTCAACCTCCAGAACAACAGAGGGCGCTGTTGCTGGATGACAAACATCTGAAGGTAAAGTAGTTGGGATGTAGAATCAATGTCAGTTCTCTGTGAGATTTGATCAAGAATTCTACAGTGATAGCTGTGCAAAATGTTGAAACTCTCATTTTTGCGTCATCATTCTGCTGAATCTGCATGCTTTGGTTTCCTTCAATAAACCATGTCCACCATCATCAAACAGGTATCTACCCAGCAGTGATATTACATAATTTTTAATAATGTCTGTCCCATTCTGCAACAGATAACACCATTTGCCTGAGTTATACAAAGTTCACTTTGTTTGTAAAATGTCTGCAGAAATGCTGTTTTAGTTTGACATTTCCCTGATATATTCAACCGTGTGCCCCGCAGAAGACACTCCAGGAACTTCTCAAGAAGCTGGTAGATTACCACAGGGCATTCTATCCACTGATGGAATGCCTCAACATCTTAACTGGGCAACTCCCCCATCACCCACTGGGAAAGCAACAGCGGGAGCTGTACTCTATGTGCTTGGAGGGCAATGTGTGGGAAAGCGCTGGCTACAAGGAAGCTTTCAGTCTGCTGAAGTTAGTTACCATTAATATTGGTAGACGTTTCTGGCAATGAATCCAAGCAATCCTCAAAAGTGCCCTTGGCATTGTAGCTCGCAAGCCTGAAGAAACCTGTTGAAAAAAGACAAGAAGATGTAGTTGAAGATTTGCTGTTGCAAGGAAAACCCTAGAAGAAGGTTCTGGGTAAAATCATTAGTTTTCCTCTAGGGACTTGTGTGTCCCATAAGTAGACTGGGCCAGAAATCAAACCCAGGTCGTAGATGTGGATGGTAAGGGAAGAGCCATTATGCCAACATGACTACATCAACTTGCATTAGGTGACTAGGGAAAAATAATTGTGAAAAACCTTTTGACGTACTCGACGACAAGAGTTTATAGAATAAGACTGGAAGGGAAGCAGTGTTTATAAGTGCAAGTAGTCGATTTCTTTGTTGTGATTGGTCCTAGACTGATGGCCAGAGATGAGCTGATGGCCCTGCTGGAAAAATGCATCGAAAGGCTGACTTGCAGCGACAACCCCCTACAGGATGCAAGATTTCAGCTAGAGACCCTACACACGCGACTGGCCACAATCGCAGGTCAGTCTCTCTGCACAGAACGACCCCGGGCTGTGCTTCCTGTTTAAGTTTGAGCTTCATATACTTGGACAGTGTTGAAGTGTTGTGGCACAGTGTTGTAGCCACCTATCCTGAGAACGTGCAAAAACACATTGGCTGGGCAGTTTTTGCTTATTGAATCTTTGCAAGCCGTTATTCTTCTTTCATGAATCGCTAACAATGGTGAACAAGTCTTCACATATCCTTCCAATAGATTGAGTGCAGTGGAAGTATGGCCTCAGATAGCGCCAAAAGGTGTCAGTTCCCAAAATGTATCATGGGAGAGGAATACAAGTTTTGAGCTTAGCTGGAAAGGAACAGGCAGATATTTCATTATGAGAATAAACCCTGGTGGTCAAAGTTAAATGTTTGGCATTGGTCAGGCATTAGTCAGAACTTGTGTATGGATGAAAAGCGCTCATCAGGTATTACTCCCAGCAGTGGCTCGAGCGCTAATTAAATCGGCTCTGTTAACATTTTTATGGACTAGCAGTGCTGGAGTCACTTTTTTTTAACTCCAGCAGGTGTAATGAAGTATAGCATGGTACGGTGGTAGTTGAGGGTTAAATCTGGTTCGTACTTGGTGCCAGAGAGAATATAAATGCAAATTTTGACATAGAATCAAATATTGACACTGCGAATTTGCAAAAGTTTATAACACATTTGAACTCTAGCAAAACTTTCCTGCAAATCTTTTGTGACACCAAGTTCACTTTGCTCTTACATCCGCCTGTAGTATAAACCGGCTGTTGAGACACTAGGCAGTATGGATTGAGTATGTGGGCTTTTGAGAATGGGTTGACATCTGAACATTTGGATGAAAAGGTAGGAAGCGACTTAATACTAGCCCGTGAAACCTGGTGCGCTACTTTTTTTCAGTAGCTGGGGTGACCAATGGTTCATGAAGAGGGGACAATGCAATACACCATTTAAGACATTTCAAAAACGGGAATCCATTACGTCGCTTCGATAGCTTAGTTGATAGTGATTTGAACTACAGATCCATAGTCCCTGGTTTGAATCCGACCCATTTGTGCTATTCATTTTCCAATTTTATCATTGTG